ATTCGTTTAAGCCAATCAGGAATTGATTGTTCAAACTCCCAACTTTCCTCAAGATTGTGTCCTTTCTATAGGATACACCAATAAAATTTATATATATCAGTGAAAAATACAAGAAAATTATATAACTTACTACTTGTTCGTCATTAATTATATTGTCGACATCAACTTTATTAATATCTTTAGTATTGGTAGTATTCGACTCATCAATTTCCAAAAATTTTCTTTTCTTCGATACAGAAGATATAGTGTCTATAATTCCAACATTGACATTCCCAGTATTGCCATTGACAGTCCCAATCCCCGTGAAGTGCAAGTGAATTGATAGTTGGTCGACTTCGAATGATCTAGTACGTTCATCCCACCAGTTTCGGGCGAGAGTACGATCTAGTCGAGAACCCTGACAAAAAATTTAACGGATTAGTAATATTCTTAACCGATACATCTTTGATTACCCTCTTATCTATCCCACCAGGTTGACTCAAAGACTTACATCAGACAAACTCGGAGATTGTCTGTGTCCTGGTGAGGTCAATATTAGAAAGTCTCGAAGACTTTACATCAGGTAAGTTCAAAGTTTACCTATGCTCAAAACAAACTTACTGACTCGACTCGAAGACTTAAATGATAGAAAACTGAAAGATCTCTAATACCACTTATTCTCTACATTTCTTAGTAAAGCCTAAATAAAAACATAATATTCACCTTTTTATACTTATCAAATAATTTTTGTGCTTTTTCTCTTTCGACTCCTTCCTTTGATTTAATGATTTCTTCAAGAGACGAAAGATAGCGCTCTATTATTTGTTGATATGTATCCGGATTACATTCGTTAAGAAAATCAATGATATTCCATTCTCTCGGGTTTCGCTTGGAAAAATATTCATATATCTGTTTTAGACGAATGAAGTGAAAGGTGAAAAGTTATCGTGTTAAACCCATAAAAAAATTCAAATAGTTTGTTAGTTCTCGTTCTAATAGCTACTTTAATGGGACATGTACTCCAAATGTCTCCAAACACCCTTGAGAAAGTAAAAATTACAGTGACCTACCATATTATAAAAACAAAATCCCACCACAAAAAGCGCGTAATTTACTATATGATTTTCGTTGGTTACACAAGTTAACGTACAGACGGGTCATACAAAAATAGATCGATTGTAATAATTTTTAAAGAGATTCGCCTTTTGTTTAATTTACTATTTAAGAAGAAAAAAAAATTGAGAAATTTTTTTTGTTTACTTAATGGGTTGCAAAAACAATTTAACGAAAATTAAGTGTTCTATTGTAAAAAGACTTAAGAAAGAAGGAATGTCAGTTGCCAAAATCATGTGAATTCTTGGGTGGTTGAATAATTGTATCAAAAATTGTGTTAGACGCTTAAAATCAATTGGTAATTTCAATTATTTAAGAAAAAAATATTGTGGTCAAAAACCACTTATTAGTAATTATTATAAATACTAGCATGTTTGTCTGGGCTATGCTCCGGGATTAAAAATGCCAATGTATTTTATATATTAAAATATATATATATTTTTTTTTTTGGGGTTATCCCAGTAGGTAAACATCATTTCTTTATTTGATATTGTATATTACAAGGTATACATC